AGATAGTGTTTTAGAATTAATAGTAATAGATTTTAATATCAAGATGCATAGCTATCATTTGTCCATACTAATATTATATGGTGTATATCTAAACCTTTATTTAATATGAAACCTCTGTAAGATGAACACCTCCTCTAATGAACACTTTTCAAGCGGTCCCATTAGTGTTCATCTTAGGGAGGTTTTACTGTATCTTGAAATATCCCAACTTACAAAGTGCATAATATAAATATTCACTGTTTCATGTGCGAAGGACGTCAGTTCAATTTAATAAATAATTGATTGGTATCACTGTATGATAGAATAAAATAACTGTTCAAGTACACAAAAGTTATATTGTAACTAATTAGAAATGAATCGCCATGGAACGAATGGAGAATAACAGTTAAGGGGCAAATCGTCTAATTGACTGAACTTTTTTTTTTCATTTTATTTGTATGAAATGATATTATTTTATGAACGATTTGTTTTATCATGTGAGAAATACCACTATATTCAAGTATCAATTAATCATATTTTATGTGACTTTTTATCTTTAATAGAAAAATGCTAGTTTTATGAAATTTTCTTTTATTATAAAGTATTGACTTAACTTGACTGTAGTACCGTCAAAAAATTCAATAATCCTATAAAAACAATATAAAGAACGTTCAAAGATTTATAAAAATCACACACTTGAGAGTAGCAAGACAGTATATTTTTTTCTAAGGGTATAATAGAAGGTTTATACTATGATTTGTGAACAATGAGATAAATTAGAATACCTCTAGCTTTAATACATTATTCTTTGTATCCAATAATTTAAGATTATGAGATAGAGATTTATAAAAAATAATGCCATCTGAGTCATTGTGAAAAGGCTACGACATCATAACCAAGATTTTTAAAAACTGATAAAAATTCGGAGATTCATTTCGATCATATTTCTTAGAATTGCAATCAACTCACTTGTCCAGATGTCACCGAAATTAATAATAACTAAATTTAATTTCGTAGATTTCTACTTATAATATTTCTCAAAATATATAGTTTTATCTTTTTTCGATTGAATATTTATTCAAAAAAGTTCTTACACACAAAAATTACTTACATTAATAAGTGTTTTTATTTTAAACTGAATTATAGCTATCAGAGCCTTTGTTTGACACTCGACGAAATACATAAACTGCACCATCTTTAGCATGACCAAGTAGAGCAACCCAGAATATACGATGTGGAATAAGTTATGCACCTGTTTTTGAAGCCGAAAACGAGAGTACAAAGCGCCTATGGGATAAGCAAATTGAGAAAAATGGTGTAATTTACACCATTTAAATGAAATGTATTCTATCAAAAATGATGTCCAGAAATAACAAAAATAGCATTTCCGATGACAGAATGCACACAATATTTGATGTTTATCGGATTCATCAAATGTTTTTAACAGTTTAATTCATGAAATGATAGTTTTTACACGAAAAAAATGCAATTAAAATCACATGAGAATCTTTCCATGAAAATCATTCAAATTCATCAAATGTATGAAATGAAAACTTTCTAAAATTTAGCTACGTTTCAATATGAAAACAACTCTCATTCTTAAGAAGAGATTAGTGCCTTTTAGACTATTCAGATAGTCCAGAAGAAGTACCCTTCGAGGGTTGATGCGATGAACTTTCGAGTAGTTTATTAATTATGAAGAATGTGAAATATGAAATAATTGAAATTTTTAAATCATGATTTTCGTTGGAAAAAGTAGGGCACGACTTATATTGATCTCTTACGTATTACATATCCTTGAACATCTATATATGTAAGGGCAACTACATGAATTGATCTAAAGTAACCATTTAAATTATGTATTAAAAAGAATCATGATACGTGATGTATTTCACATAACAATGAAAATAATGCGATGTATTTTATTTATTCACAGTAACGAAGACATTGCAGTCAAAATCATGTAAAAATAAAGAAAACAATATAATCATTCTGACTTTATTAAAATACTGAAAAACATGCGATTGTTTTCCTGAAAACTTCATAAAACGATTTAAATGAATTTTTTCATTTTTTAACTTCCCTGAATAAAACCGACAAAACAAACAAAAACAAGGACAAGAAGTATCATAATAAATTCAGCTCCTCCACCAAGACCAGCACCCCCACCTCCTGGTGCGATTGTTGATGTTTCTGGTGGTGTATCTATATTAAAGATATTTTTAATAAATAATTTGCGTCACAATTAACTTACTTTTACAACCATCCCAACAGGCACATTTATGTCTCAACCGAAATTTGTAATTATTTATTGGTGCTTCACCCAAAGCGTCAAAGTCTTCACTTTCATCGGTTGAACATACTAATGTAACTATCACTATTTTTGCACCTTCAGTATAAGTAACTGAAGGAAGACTAGCTAAACCAGCTCCCGGATTCCATTTTACACTATCTTGTTTTCCAAGACTAAAACTAAGTTTTCCGTCCGCAGAGACTAAATAATTTATAAAATAAAATGAATGTATAAATTACATTGAGTTACTAACCTTGACAAGCTGCAACACCTATACAATTAGGTAGCTCTGTAAAGGGCTTACAAGGATTGTAACTATATTCTATAGTTTATAAATATCAAGTAATGAATAGTAAGATAAGAAGAAAGTTAGTTTACTGTAATCAGCGAATGCTGGTGGTGTTCTATCAGCATAAGCCGGTTTACCATCCGTTCGACCAACACTTGTTAAATCAATGATACCTTTTTCAGTTTGGTATTTGCAAGGATCAACAATAATAACTTTCGATGTTGTTGATGTTATTGATGCTGTTGATGTTGTTGTTGATGTCGTTCTTGATGTTGCTGTTGATGCAGTTGATGTTGTTGTTGATGTCGTTCTTGATGTTGTTGTAGTTGATG